AAAAAGAGAGACAAGTTAAAAACAAAATGAACCAAATAAAGGAACCCCAACAACAAAAACAGAAAGAGAGAGTTATAAATAGAAGATGAGTGGAACACACTCACACAACAAGAACAGGCCTTGTTGGCATCCTTGGAGCAATACATCTGCTGTACCAAAGCAGAGAACAACATTTCAGACCAGCAAGTGCCCTTTTATAGTCAAAAGTAAACCTGCAACACATATAGCCATCCCTGCCTTTTCCCACGTTACAAGCATCAACCCATAAAAGACCAAATTCATTGCCGCCAAAAGCATCAACCCATCAACCTGTCTGATGTATGAATTGAGCAAAAAGTATCAGACTTTGATAGAAATTAATTAGCATACTAATAAAACAACCCCATGACTGAAATGATTTGTCTCTCCATAGTATGATCTATTTTCCATGCATAGCCTAAGGCTTCGTTTTTCTTTCTTTAATTCTAAGGACAAAGAAACTACAGCGCGAATAAAAGCAAATTACATTGTCTATCATAAAAGCAAAGCTTGAAGTTTTATACTCACTCCTTAAAGAGAACAACATTAAGACAGAGAGAGGGAGAGAGTACTCGAGAGAGAGAGACGCGGCGGTGATAGATGGCGGTGATTCTGGCACATACACAGAGTACCGAAGAGAGACGCGGCGGCGATTTTGGCTTTCCTAGCGAATGGTCTCGATTTTGGTTTCTGCATCAATCGGATCTGTTCCAAGTTTGGAAGAATTTGATTCGGATAATATGTTATCAATTTGATTTGGTTTGGCTTGGTTTGATTTCGGTTTGGTTTAATTTCGATTTCATATATTTTTGGGTTTCGGTTCAATTTCGAATCGGTTCAGATTCAATTCGAATTGATTTTGATTTTAGAGGCATTCAAGTTCAGATATATTTCGATTTGAAAATATTTCGGTTTCATATATATTTGCATATATGTTATTTTTGAATTAAAATTTAATTATTTGTTCATTTTTATCATATCGCATTTATCAATCTCATCAAGTCATAACCTCATATTATTTTGAACTTTGTTCGTCCTACATATCTTCTATTTTTATCTTTTTAGTCATCTTTTATAAATTTGGATTACAAATTATGAAAGAAAAACATATTTAGTTCTGATATAAAATTAATATAAGTATATTACCAAATCACATAAATATGTAGAAATTGAGTAAATTGAAAGCATTTAGATAAAATTTGAGTGAAACTAAATACAATTCAAAGCACATATTTGGCCAATCATATAATATTGCATGAAAGGAGGTGAATAAATTATTTTTAATCGGGTTTTAGTTTGTATGAATTTTAACTAACATTTTTTATGTAAGCTGTAATGTTTATTTTTATACCAATTAATAAAAAAAGAAATTAAAATATATGAAATTTTACATTGTATTTAGATATGGTACTTCATGTTGGAAAAAATATTTTGCATTGTGACATAATGGTACTGTATATTGGCATTTTACAATACTTTTGGGTATTAGATATATTGATATTATTAGAATTGTAACTCCTATTTTAAGGATAACAAACATTGAACTCTTATTTTTGAAGTTTCTCGATGTTTTACTCATATTTTGGTATTTTTGTCTTCTCATTTAACTTTTCACAGTTTTTAGTGTAACATTTTTACAATCAATATTTACATTTATACACGTATACAGTATATTTAATTTTTAAAAAACACAATACCTGAAAACTACGTTTCATAAAGAACTATTGATATTGCATTTATATAGAAATACAATTTATTTTTCATATATTGTAGAATTTTGGAACTAAACGACTTGATTTCATTAGTCACCTGGCAAGTATGTATACAGAATATTACACTGCCCAAATATGTGGCCCATAAACTAAATACAATAATACATATTAACAAAATAATAAATATACTCTGAAACTCTCCCTCAAGTTGGAGCATGAAGATCATAAATGCTCAATTTAGACAATAACAATTGAAACAAGGGTCCCGCCAGTGTCTTGGTAGACATATCTGCAATATGAAAGCGTATAGGAACATATGCAGTGACGATGTGCTAACGCTGAAGGCACTCACGAACAATATGACTGTCGATATCAATGTGCTTGGACCGTGAATGAAAACAAGAATTAGCCACAATAAACAACAGTGATTTGTTATCACAATATAACTTCGGAACAACATCACAAGGGACAACCAATGCGGCTAACCATCCACAAATCCAACATACATCAATACAGGCGCGCCGGCATCAGCCGTAGCACGATATTCAGCCTCAGCGGAGGAACGAGAGACCACTGTTTGCTTTATCGTGTGCCGGGAAATAGGGGACTGTAATAACCGATAACTCGTCGTCCGGTAAGGGGACAACTCACCTTATCTGAATTTGAATGAATAGTCAAGGCAAGATCACTTTCGCAGCATAGCAAATGCACTATCCAGGATGATCTTTTGAGGTAGCGAATGACTATTAGAGCAGCATTGAGGTTATCTAGAGTCCTAGACAAGGAGCGTACATAAACTAAGACAAAACATGCACCAAGTAACAAATATTAGGACAAGCAATAGTAAGATACAACAGACGGCCACGATTGAGGGCTTTGACTTTATATGGCGTTCGTCTAGACCATTCCCGTCATCGCCATGTCTCCATCTTGAACTGTTCCTCATAGAAAATCACACTGGTGTCAAGAAGTTTGGTCGTCATCAGCCGGCAGTCGCAATCTAAGTGTTCGCTTGTCATCATTTTTAGTTCTCACTGGAATTCTTTTTGTGCCTAATCTTCATTGTCATTTGATTTTCGTTGGTTGTCTTACAAAGGACAACGCTGGTCATGTTTTCTTTAATGAACTTGGTTGTGTAATACATGATCGTACCCCACGTTGAAGACAAAAATTGGTCGAGGTGAGCTGCGTAATGGAGTATACATCTTTCGTCCGTGTCAAGTTCCTCAAGTTCATGTGTCTTCCTCTAATCCTGTTGTTCTCCTTCACTAACGTTTGGGTCACCCATCTCCAGCTATTACTTCCTTTTTCAATATGAATAATAGTAGTTCTTGTGTCAAGAAGCTCCGGTATCACGTAAAATTTTAGAATTGAATGACTTATTTTCATTAATCACCAACTATATATACAGAATACTACACGGCCCAAATATGTGGCCCATTAACTAAATACAATAATACACACTACGTATTAACAAAATAATAAATATACTTCAATATATATATGTGTTAAAGTTTACAAAGTTTGAAAAAAAATAAATTCAAAAGAGAACATCATTTTCGTATGAATCTCCGGAATCGAAGATAGGTCACAATTTTGATTACAATTTGATTAGAGTAAATTCCATAATTGGTCATTTATAATAGGGGGGTTTCCCTATTTAGTCCTCTATTATCAAATATTACCCTAGTGGTCCTTCTTTTATGGGTATCTTTCCACAAATAGTCCTTTTTTGATCTTCTATCATGTTGGTGTTAATTTGAAGGCTAAAACTGTAATTTCACAATGATAATAAATCTTTTTTGTCATACACAATTCCAAAGGTTGTTCCGTTTGCATCGTTTGTGAATTATAGTTCCTTTCTACTACAACCATAGTCTACAAATGTGGTTTTTCGTTGAAATCCTAGCCCACAATCATAGTCATTATTTTTGTGTTATCCGCTTAACCAATATCAGAACACGTCACTAGACATAATGTTGATGTCAAATTATACTTTTAGCCTTTAAATTAACACCAACATGACAGAAGATCAAAAAAGGACCATTTGTGGAAAGGCACCCTTAAAAAGAGGACTACAAGGGTAATATTTGATAACAGATGACTAAATATGAAAACCCCCTGTTATAAAGGACCAATTATGGGATTTACTCATTTGATTAATACTCCTTCCGTCCCAATTTTGATTACAATTTTACAATTACGAGGCAAAACTTTATATCTTTTGAAATTATTTTATTTAAGAACTAATATAAAAATGAAAAATAAAACTTACATATTTAAAAACTATATCAAAAGGTTTTACAAAACAAGAAGTGACAAAAATATTTTATTTTATCAAATAATCAATCAAACCATATAAATATACAAAAATTATCGAGATGAGAGATCTTCCCTATCTAAAATGTTCTTCCCTGTAAAATAATACACACTACGTATTAATAAAATAATAATTATACTTCAATATATATAGGTTAAAGTTTGGAAACTTTGATAAAAATAAATTCAAAAGAGAACATCATTTTCGTATGAGTCTCCGGAACCAAAGATAGGTCACAATTTTTATTACAATTTGATTAATACTCTTTCCGTCCCAATTTTGATTATAGATTTAAAATTACAAGGCAAAACATTATATTTTTTTTGAAATCATCTTATTTAAGAATTAATATAAAAATGAAAAATAAAACTTTCATATTTAAAAACTATATCAAAAGGTTTTACAAAAAAGAGGTGACAAAAATATTTTATTTTATCAAATAATCAATCAAACCATATAAATATACAAAAATTATCGAGATGAGAGATCTTTCCTATCTAAAATGTTCTTCCCTGTTACTTTTCACATGATCAAACTTTAATCACTTTCTTTACCTATTTTCATTAGGTATTTGATAAAATAATATAGTCTTATTAGGGCCTGTTCTTTAGGACTGGAAAAAAAGAGCTGGAAACTGGAAGAAACTGGAAGAAACTAGAAGAAACTGGAAGGAACTGGAAGAAATTGGAAGAAACTGGAAGGAACTGGAAGAAACTGAAAGAAACTGGAAGGAACTGGAAGAAATTGGAAGAAACTGGAAGGAACGGGAAGAAACTGGAAGGAACTTGAAGGAACTGGAAGAAACTGGAAAAAATTAAAAGAAATTGAAAAAACTAGAATAAATTGTAAAATCTAAAAAAAAATTTAAAAATTTTTATGTATGGTTTTAAATTATTCTCATTCTGATTCTTGTTCATATAAATTATTATTATTACTATAATAATAATAATAATAATTTTTATTGTTGCTGTTGTTGTTGTTGGTGGTGGTGGTGGTAGTACTGGTGTTATCACGTTATCTAAATGAGTGTCTTTAAAATAAAAAAATATTACGAATATTATTTTTCATACATAAAAAGATAGTTTAAAAAATTAATTAGAATATAAAATTAGCATAAATATCAAAATGTTAAAAAGTTAAGAGTTATTATGGCTATGCTGTATTTATTACGAAGTATAAAATAATATATTTATATTTGTTATTATATTTTACATATTACAATATTTTGTTTTAAATATCTGACATGTCACATAATGTAA